GTGACCTGGCTGAAGTCGGACGCTTAACCGACTGCGCCACCCAGGCGCCCCTGGTTTTGCGTTTTTAACAAACCCTCATACCTCCCCCCAAGAGGATTCTGGTGCAAGGGATCTGGAGAATCTCTGCCAAGTATTCATGCCCTACTGAGGACTTTGGCAGGGCAGGCAGTTTGTGTTGTGATTAGAACCTGTGTGTTCAGCAGGAAACAGGACACTGGAAAGATGGATGAGTGGCTGGCTTGGATGGGATGGGATGGGATGGATGGATGGATGGACAGATGGACGGATGGACAGACAGAACCAGCCCCATTTTCCAGGGCTTCCTGATCTTAGGGAGGTGGCCCCATGTGTTGAATAAGAAGGTTCCATTCCTCAGCGCATCCTTCCTTTTGTCCTTCTTGTGCCCAGTCCCAAAGATGCCTTCCGAGCAGTGAAGAAAAGAATTGTAGGGAATAAGAACTTCCACGAGGTGATGCTGGCTCTCACGGTGAGTGCCCCATCCATCCGTCTGTCCCTCCATGGTAGAGCCACACCTCCCCCAGGCCTAGCAGGACTCCCAGCCACCCTGGGGCTCCTCTTCCAGGGGTTGAGAAGGAAAGGTCTGTGGGCAAAGCGCTGTCCTGTCTACAGTGTTGGCAGACACAGAGTGGCCATTTGGCAAAGTTCTCTCCAACTTCCTGGCATGGGGAGCAGACACCCTGAGGCCCACATCCCTCCAGACCCAGTCACGGAGAGCTCGTGCCAGAGGACCTGCCAAGTGACACAGAAGCTCGGTGAACCCAGAGCTCAGCAGGGCGGAAAGCCTGGCCGGGCAAATTGGGCACGTGGATGCCCGGGAAAGTGTGCATAAAACAAATGCCGGTGGCCAAGGACGGGCCAGGCGAGAGGGGGCATCCTGGCTGTCGGAGGGGTTTGGCTGCGAGTGGAGACAGCACTCTGTCCCGGGGTCCCCAGCAGCACTTACGTCAGGTGAATCCGGCTAAAGAGCAGGGCACTTCCAGCCAGGAAGGGAGAACAAGAAACGAGGAGGGAAGTTCAGCGCCTGGTCCTGGGGCTGCAGGGTCACCATGGGATTGTGGAAGTTCACTGTGGTTTCCATTTGGAGAGCCACCCTCCCTCCAGACTGTATTCGGCTCAGAAGCAGCTTCAGGACAGGCTTCTGTGGGTTCTGAGGCCACTCGGTGAGGGGCCGCTAGTGGGCACACCAGCCCCCGAGTCGGGGCACTGTCCCCACTTCTCCGTGTTCCGGGGTCTCACTTGAGAGGGCCCCTCCCGTACTCAGCCTCTCCTCCGGGATGGAGGCCGAGTGCAAGGGTCCTGGGCACTCCTGCTCACGGGCCCCTCACGGCCTCCAGGTCTTGGAAACCTGCGTCAAGAACTGCGGGCACCGCTTCCACGTGCTGGTGGCCAGCCAGGACTTTGTGGAGGGCGTGCTGGTGAGGACGATCCTGCCCAAGAACAACCCACCCACCGTCGTGCACGACAAGGTGCTAAACCTCATCCAGGTGAGCGCAGGCAGGCCGGGCCAAGCTCCGTGCCAGCCGCCTTCCGGGGTGGGGAGAGAGCTTCGGGCCTGGCCGGGCAGCAAGGCGCCCCCACCACCGCTGCTCTTCCATCGGCTTCCAGCTCCTTCTCACGTGGGGCCGTCTTGGTGACCGCTGACTGGAGGTTCTGAGTGCGGGGAGGGGGCTTGGCGGGGGCTCTGTGGGCGTGGCGGCCCGAGGACCAGCGAGTCAGGGCATCTCTGCTCTCTGGGGGCCGATAGGTGGGCTCGCGGGGGAGATGGCGAGCAGTAGTTACCGGCCGTGTCCCCCTGTCCCCTCTCAGTCCTGGGCTGACGCGTTCCGCAGCTCGCCCGACTTGACGGGTGTGGTCGCCGTCTACGAGGACCTGCGGAGGAAGGGCCTGGACTTCCCGATGACCGACCTGGACATGCTGTCGCCCATCCACACGCCCCAGAGGGTGAGGAGACTCATCCGGCGGGAGCAGCAGGGAGCGCAGGTGGGGGAATTACCAAGCAGTTTCCCCAGCTGCTCTCTGACGCCCTTGCCCGCCTCGCTGATCCCGGCTTTTGCCCTCTAGACCGTGTTCAGCTCAGAGGCGCCATCAGGGCAGAGTTCTGTGGGCACTGATGCCAGCCATGGAGGAGACTCCACCCAGCACACCGCCCCCCTGCCCGTCCCGGCCGCACTCCCCAGTGACACACCCATCACGCCAACCCCTGAGCAGGTAAACAAGCCTGAGTCAGAGCCACGCGGGGCAGGGAGGGCCCCCTCTCGTTATGGAAATTTCTATCCTCACAGTGGCCCCACTGGGTATGTATCATTCTTCCTGTTTCAAAGACGAGACTTAGATAAACTCACTTGCCCAGAGCCGCACAGCTCATCAGAGATGGTGGTGGGATTCAAGCTCAAGTCTGTCTGACTCCCAGCAGACTCGGTCCTGCACCTCAGCTGTTCTCCAAAGTGTGTGCCCCACGGAGCCCCTCAGGCAGCACCGGGGAGAGTAAGTGCCCAGTAGGTGGCCCCTTCGGCAACAGCGTCTTCGTCGTCTTTGGGTGGTTTGTTTATGTGCTCAAATATGATTTCATCTGAACAGAGGTTCTGGCTAAAAACAGTTCTAACACATCTGCACAAAAAAATTTTTTAAACCCTTGCTCTGCACCCATGATGCTTCCCACAGAGCTCCAAGAAGAAGGTTTGGGGTGCAGTGTTAAGATTCCAGGGGCCGGGGCTCCTTGAGTAGCGCTGCAGGATTGAGTAGCACTGTGAGTAGTGTTGGTGGGTAACCAGACTCACGACGCACTGACTTAGCTTCTGTCCCTCAGTTTCTTCCTCCTGGAGTGGGGGGCAAGGCCACCTGGCAAAGCCGCCTGCCCCCCAAGGGATATCTGCAGCCATCACCAAAATAAGCTGGATACATGCTCATTGCATTTATTTATTTTTAAGTTTGTTTATTTATTTAAGTAATCTCTGCACTCAGCATGGGGCTCGAACCTACGACCCTGGGATTAAGAGCTACATGCTCTACTGGCTGAGCCAGCCGGGCGCCCCAGCGTGCCCCCATTTTAGACGTGGCTGTTGGGGTGTGAGCTGAGGCCTTGTGTTGTCGGCATGCCCACTTTTCAGGTGTGTTATGAACTTTAGACCCATCATACCAGCTACACGTGAAAGCTTAGCTGTTAAAGATACTGGCAAGAGAGACACAGGTCTGTGATGGAAACAAAGTGAAACTTGACCTTCCAGAGTGGACCCACTAATCTCCTGTACTGTCTCATCTGGACTTATGAACAAACCTGCCAGCAGCCCTTCACACCCCAACCTATCTGAAGAGAAGCTTCTGTACTGGGTATCTCACAATCAGTTATAAAATCACCTCCCAGAGTCACAAATATTACTAGAAAAGTTTTCCTAACTGGACATACAATTAAAGTGGTATAAAACCTGTAAAATCACCCTGTGATCCAAATTTCACGTAGCCTAGTTATGCTTTTAACCTTTTTGCCTGAAGTCTTACGTCGGCGTGGATTAAGCCTGATGACATCCAGGGTAAGAAGGTTCTCGTTAAACAAAACTGAGTAGGCGGTGTTTAGTTTCCAGCTCCCCGCTTGTCTCCTGGGGCATGTTAAAGCTTCCAGGCATCCAGTGGTATCACTCCCAGACTCTGTTGTAATTAGGTCCCATCGGACCCGGACACACTGGGCTTGTGGTCAGTAGTCTTTCCACTCATTTATACCAAGAGTGTTCATTAAATCGGCCAAATGTACCAAACGTGTCCTGGGGTTTGGAAGGTGTCTGTGACCCGTAGTTACTACCTGTGTCTGCACCCACATTTCTTCATCTGTAAAGGCTGGGATAATTGATACGTGCCTCGTAAGATTGTGGTGAAGTTTAATGAGCAACAAAAGTTAAATGCTTGGCATTTGGTAGGTGGTTAATAAATGGTGGCTGCTGTCACAGGCATCGTAAATTTATATACTGACTCTCGTAATCTGAAATCAGCTAGGTCACATGCAGTTCTCAGAACGTAAGCCACTTAATAACTGGACCCATAAGGTATTCCATGGCCAAGGTTCTTCGTCCAGATTAATTTTAGAACCTCCATACCAGGGCGCCTGGATGGCTTAGTCAGTTGAGCGTCCAACTTCAGCATGGATCATGGTATCACAGCTTGTGAGTTAAAGGCCCGCATTGGGTTCTCTCCGTGTCAGCAGCATGGAGCCCACTTGAGGTCCTCTTGTCTCCCTCTCTCTCTGCCCCTCCCCCACCCATGCTTGCTCGCTCGCTCTCTCAAAAATCTTTTAAGTTTAAAAAAAAAAAAAAAAAAAGGATTTTCATACTGATGCCTTACTAGACATTCGCAGTGTCCGCAGAGCTCCTGAGACCAAGCACCCCACAGAGCCCCACAGCATAAGACACTGGACCAGTGGCCCTTCGCCACCTCACCCATGTGGAGACTGTGCAGCCTGATTTATGCTGATTCCCCAAGCTGACACCCTGGAACCCTTTGATCACTGAAAACCTGCTAACATGGTTTTAACAAGTGCTAAATCTGAGTTTCACACTCAAGGTGGGGCGTGGCACTCATGCTTGAAAGAGCCCAGGACACCAGAACAGACCAGGAGGAGCAGACCAGGAGCAAGTCCTGTCCTCACAGGAGAGGAGAGGGGAGTAAGCTGTCATCCTAGGCAGGAAGCCGGCCTGCTGATTCCCTCCTCTCCCCTGGGCGGGGAACTGCCCTCCAGGGCCTCGTTAGCTGCCATCTTGGCCCCAGGAGATGCTGGAGCCCTGCAGCCGCACTCTGTGGTGCATTTACCTTCAGCTTCTTTCCTTTTGGCCTTCCCTGAACCAGGCTCCCCAGTTTGGAGATGGTAACGGTCAGTAGACCTCTGTGAGGGGGTCTCTGGGGGGGGTGGGGCCGTCCCACCACAGGCCTCTTCGTGCCGCGCTGTGGCCCAGGAGCCAAAAGGGTCCTGGCGGGTCAGCTCCCCTGGGCTAATGGCGCCAGCCTCTCCTCGTGAGCAGCGGCCCTGGCCCCCTGGCCTCTCTCACCAGGGCCCACGGTGTGTTTCAGATTGGGAAGCTGCGCAGCGAGCTCGAGATGGTGAGTGGGAACGTGAGGGTGATGTCAGAGATGCTGACGGAGCTGGTCCCCACCCAGGCAGAGCCTGCAGACGTGGAGCTGCTACAGGTGAGCGAGCGCCCAGCGGTCCACGTACATTTCTCCCCCACCCACACTGCAGCTTTCGTGACTTCCTCTGAACTCCTTGGTCACAGTGGGAGGGGTTAAAACCAGGGACTCTGGACCCCAGCACTGCCATTTTCTAGTGGGAACAAAATGGCCCCCCCTGCCCCAGCTTCCTCATCTGTAAGATTGTTCTAATAAGAGCTTTTAAGGTCTGAGTGTGACATGAGAATTAAATAAGGCTTTGCATGTAAAACACCAGCCCTGGGCCTGGTTCCGAGTAGGCCCCCAGTCAATGGTATTGAGGAGAAGCTTGGAGGTGGGATTTCCCCCCTTCCAGAATTTGAAGCTTGCAGGCAGGTATGGGAGCAGCGCCGGCGTTGAGAGTAAAGAGCAGGTGGTCTCGGGCCCTGGGGCAGGTGCAAGCCACTGGCTTTCTCTCCATATGTCACATGTATTCCTGCAGTCCCATCCCCAGCTGGGAGCCACTGAAGGCACCACCCCAGCCGTGGAGGTCAGTTCACAGAGGTGCCAAGAAAGCAGGTGGCGGGGGGGGGGGGGGGGTGGGGGGGGTGCAGCGACCAAGGCCCAGGAATCACCAGGTGTGAGTGCTGGGTTGACATGGGGACAGCTCACAAGCAATGAGCAATTCCTGCACACCAGGCTCTGATGTTAACACTTGATACGCATTCGTTCTTCACTCCGTCCTCACCGCACCCAGCAGCAGACGGGTTCTCTCATTATCCCCGTTTTCTAGATCAGTCAACCGAGGCAAAGAGAGGTCATAGAATGTGCCCAGGGTCATGTGGCTGGTAAGCAGCAGAACTCGAGCCCAGGAGCCTGGCTCCAGCTGCTGCTTTTCGGCTGCTGAGAGGGGTGGGTACGGAAGTGGGAACAAAGCCACAAGTGTGCTTGGTCACAGGAGGAAGAGAGGGGAGGCCCACAGGGTGTTGAAAG